GGTTTTGGGTTTATGGTTTCGGGTTCAGGTTGTTTCAGGTTTAGGGTCTTAGTTTCGACTCTCACTCTCGCACCAAACCCTAGGGCCTAGTTCAGGGCTTCGGGTTTCAAGTCGCTCGCTCGCTCACAGCTGGCACGACTCCGGAGACTCCTCTCAGTTTGCTATACTCCGACAGGTGACCGGAGGACCAGGCAGAGGACCAGCGGAGCAGAGGACCACGGGACCGGAGGACCAGCAGGGACCAGAGGCAGAACCGGGCGACCACGGGATTAGAGGACCAGGGCTTGGCCGCACCTTTCAGGCAAGGATTGGGGCCGCACCTTTGCCAAAAACCAAACCATGGCCCCCTAAACTGCCTACACCCCAAACTCCGAAATCCTTGTCTCTGATATGACTACCCTAATCCCCTGGACCCTAAACCCTAAGCCTTCAACCCTAAAAATCCCTAAAGATTAAACCCTAAAACCTTAGACCGTCACTACCGCAGATTCGGGCCTGGAGAAGCGCCCAAGCATCCAGTGCAGCGTAGCCTAGCTGCTTGGAGGTTCATGGCCAGCCATAGGCAGGCTTATAGAGTTTAGGGTTGCAGGTTTATAAGTGGGGTTATAAGTCATTACGGTAGCTATGATAGTTACACAGTTACAACCCATATTCGAGGGCTTACAGCCCCACTTATAACTACCCATGAAACTCCAAGTGTGGGCAGTCCCTGACATCGACAGGAAGTATCGGCGCTCACACTCGGACACTCCAGGCGAGGCATGTCAGGGTGTAAGGGTGCCCCCCATCATTATGAAGTATTTTCTATCAGGCGGCACATGTGACAACTCATCGGACCCCACCCAAACAACGCAAGAAATGCTTGGATCGTGGCAACCGACTCCTGGGACAGGATCAAGGAACCAAGCAGTTAGCTCGTTCAAAACCCGGCGTTTCAACTTTGGAGGTTTATAGTTTTCTGTCTTCTTATTCGGACAGGTTACATGAGAGCTGCATCTGGAAGGGCCCCCCCCCCCCGCCCTGCGTGGAAACCCATCTAGTGCGATCTTTAGAGGTAGGTTCTTGTTTGAATATCACAGGACACGGGTTACAAGGAGCCCCGTACCAGATCCCGAAAAGGTCTCAGACATAAGGATATAGAGGATTGCTGGAGGTGTTGGTCTCCTGCGTTGTCATTCCTTTCAACTGCAGTAGCCGATTTCACATCCCCAACTAGCCCCAGAAAATGCAACACCGGGAACCCTGACTCCCTAGAATGGTCCTATAAGCTAATCGGCTAAACGCCTATACAACCCTAACAACTCAAGCCCTGAATACTTCCAGCATAAAGCCCTAAAGCCCTTACTGGGTTGTAGTTTTGGGGCCCTGAAAAAGTATTTATGAAGAGGTACCTCTATAGAAACCATAAGGGAAGCTGTAAAGTTTCCCAAATTGCCACCTAGGTTAAGCCTGATTCCAAGTTCTAGAAAAGAAGCGTCGCTGCTTCTCCGTGAGAGGCCGCAAGGACCAGTCTGAACACCTTGGTGTTTTTTGGGAGCGCTTCTTACTTGGGGTTTAGAGTTTCGGGGCGTAGATAATGAGAATATTTTTTTTTGCAGGGGTCTCCTTATTATAATTATAGTATACCATACCCCCATAAGCCCTATTCTAACTCTTCAGGCCCCTATATTCGGGTTTCGGGTTTAGGGTTTAGGTCGGACTGAGGGTTTGAAGTTCGGCCTTAGGATTTAAAGGGGGTTGTGCAAGTTCTTTGGCACGGACCCTTTTCCATCCGCCAAACGTAGGTATTCAGGCTTTATAGGGTTTTGGCTATGTGGATGCCTCGACTTGCGCGTCCGGTTTAGGGTTTAGGGTTTCGGTTTCGGGTTTCAGATTAAATGAGTACAGTACAGGGGCGAGAGGCGAAAGGCCTCCGTCCAACCTACATGGGTAGTTCTCTAAATTCGGGTCCCCTTTTAGGTCCCCAATATAATACGGCACCCTTATAAAAAGGACCCTAAAAGGGACCCTAATTTAGAAAACTACCCACCTTGGCATTCTTTCAAGGGTTTGGAGGTCAGAGGCTCGAGGGCGCTTTCGGAGCTTGGAGTTTAGAGTATGCCATGGCCTAGCACGTCATTGAAAGGCCGCGTTCTTCCCTGCACGTTTGGCGTTTTGGAAGCTTTCACTGTGGATTCTAGGCGCTGCCAGGATCGGACTTTATTTAGCTTTGCTTGGGGAAGCGGGGTGGGGAGTGGGGTGGGGGGAAGGCTGATTTCATTCTGGCGCCGCCTGCTTTGTTTGAAAAATGGGCTTAGAAGCCACGCCTGCCAGCAAGAGTCAAGATAGTGCTCGGGTTTGGGGAAGGCAGGATTATGAGGACGGTAAAATTTGAAGCCATGCTGCCAGCAAAAGCCGAGACAGCACAGACATGCCTTTCAGATTTAAACTCAGGAGCTGTGTAGAGAAAACGTGCGACACAAGGCTACATGGTCCCTGAACGTCATTTTCACAAGCATATCTGCACTTTCCTGACTTTTGCTGGCAGGCTTGGGTTAAGAGCCCATTTCACATAAACCTGGCTACCGAAAACCCCTGTGGTCTTTTATGTACGTGTGGCCGGTTAGGGTGTCTGTTTAGGGCAGGATGTTCGGCACTCAGCGTTGCGGGTCTCGGAAAGCATGCGAATGATTACGAATGTGCAGACGCAAGTATTGAACATTGTTGGCACAAGTATGCAAATCAGCAAATCTATATGTGGCTTGACTGTGTGTGCGTATCAACACGGTGCCTCAGTGTAACATGAGTACACACTATCCCTGGCTACATACATACATACGTACATACATACATACATACATACATGCATACATGCGTACATCCATGCATACACACATCACACATACATAAAACAGTACGTACATACAGACATGCATACATACATACAAACTTGCACTTGCACTTGCCTCTCCGCTTGAGTCCATGTCAGATGCGAGCACGCAGTGATGCTCAGAAGACTCGTGTCGGGATTCGGCGCAGTTGGCCAAATCATATCTACACAACTTTCGTTGCGCACACTGTCACGTGTGGGTCTTTCATAAAGATGGACTTGTCACCAAAACAACACGACTCCCGCCTACGACCCAGCAGAACTGGGGCTTGGCCCCGGGGGTGCTCATTCGAGGTCCCCGTTGAAGGCTCTGCTTGTAACCTACTCTTTCTTGTCAGCGATTTGTCTGATAAGCGCACTGGGCGGAGCAGGTCCACTCTTGATCTCACCTCCTTGCGACGTCACAGCAGTGCCAAGGATCTCCAATGCAGGAGCCCATTCCGCTTGCGTCTTGACTTGCGGCCGTAACTTCAAAAGAACCTTGCCGTCACGAGTCTCCCGCGCCATTGCCAGCTGAATAGATTGCTCCATATCCTGCAGGGTGGTCATTGACTCGTGCAAGGCTTTGAACTCTGCAAGCTTGCCAAGGTTCGCCTCGTCTTGCAACAAGGCCTGTGCCACTGTTCCTGCGACCGTCCAGCGAGGAGGCCCGAGCGGATGGGCGCCCTTGTCAGGAATGCGAGCTTTCCATGATGTCATGGCTTGAAGCAGCTCCTTCCCCAGCCCCTGCTCTTTGGGCAGCAAAAATGTGTGGCAGCTCCAAGCTTCTAAGTCGCGGAGCTCCTTGTCGTGCTGGTTGACGATCTTCATCACGGTACGAAGTTGCCTGGAGAGCTGCTGCACTTGAACGTCCAAGGGGTCTCTGGTTTTGCCAGCTTGATCGGATTGACGCGGCCGCTTTTGAGG